AACATAATTACGTATCCAAAAAAGCTACAAAACAAGTTTTTATGCAAGACATCCAATATTCAATTATTCATCAATATATTCCAGAAGGAAAGAAAAAATACTGTCATGAGGAACTTAATATCTTAAAATATAATAAAAATAGAGAAAATTTTACTCAACAAGAAATCTTCTTTCTCCAAACCAAGAAGCACCATTGCAAACAAGAAGCATAAGTTAGTCAAAGTTAAAAGGCAGCTGAGAATTATGCAATCCATAATCTCAGTTCTCTTTTTTTTCCATGAGCTCCCTTCATTTTTTTTGGGTGGTTCAATAGGGAAGACAAACTCGCTACCATTTTTTTCACATAGCTTAAGGAGTTAGCTTTTTTTGACGGTGGTGTCAGCAGGATTGAAAATTTTTTCATGTAGCTTAATGAGTTCGAGTTTTTGAAGGTGTGAATAGGTGGTATGAGCGGAAATAGAAACCACAACATGTAACTAGGTAAAGTTGTGCCTCCACCATGACCCATCTCTTTTCCTATAATCTCCGTTCTCTATGCTTCCAGTGTACATTCAAACCAGCAAATCCTCCAAAGTAGCCCTCTTGTAAGGGAAACTAAATATCCGTGTCATGTCCTAAGTACAATGCTTGGCATTGTTCCCCTACGATTCCTGCCATTGCCGATATTTCATCAAAATTTGGTGTAGTAGTTCCTACTTGAGAGTGCTAAAAGTGTACGAAAGGACAAATATATGCAAGGAAACCCTAACGACAAATCAAATAGGAGAAATATGCAATGGAAGGGAGAACAAGCACCGTTCTAATGGTTTGAACCATAGTTATAAGGAGCGGGAGCGGGAGCGGGAACAGCTCTAGTTCTGGGAGTGGGAGCGTCGGATCGATGATTACCTAAAGCACCAAAGTTTGGAGAATGAGTTTCAGTGAGGGTAGAGGATACAGATAGAGATCCCGTTTAAATCGGGAGCGAGTTCCCGATACATAGGGATCGAAATTCTTATGTAATATGAACACGTTCTATGTAAAATAGGATTGTTTTCCCATGTTTATTAAGATCATGCTCCCATTGACAATAGGAACCAGATCCCATTTAAGGTTGAGTCGCACCTATCTAAGAAAGACTACGTCGTTATTTGGAAAGGATTCAGCTCTATTCAAAGTACTTTGGAAAGGATCCAGCTCTATTCAAAATACTTTTTTAAAAATGGTTCATATCTCCCTTTTTACTCTCCCCACGAGACCAATGTATGTTTTGAAATGATAACATAAAATTTTAGGCATTAAAAACCTTGCGTGAAATAGAAATGGAAATGATTCATTAAAAATACTTTAAGTATTCATGCTCCCTATGAACCAGCAAGACCATATTATGTAAAAGTTAAATAAACCAAATGTTTTCTACAATTTCATTATTTTCGTCTTAATCTCTAATGAACAATAAATCTATTTTTATATTTTCATTATAAAATAATAATTCAGGTTTACCTTTTATAGCGCTAAACAACAATTTACTCCATCAATAGTACAAACGTTTTGTGTTGTGTTAACACATATTCTAAAACACACATATTAAAGAGGGCATCCAATATTTTAATAATTAAAATTTTGATTATTACATGTGCATTTATGCACATCTTAAAAATAAAAAATAAATGAGATAATATTTTAATAATAAAAATTTATCATTATATGCACATGTATTAACTGTAAACTTGATCCATCAATTTTTAAAAAACATATATTTCTGTGAACCCGCATGACCATATTATGTAAAAAAACTAAATAAACCATATATTTCCAATAATTTGATTCTTTTCATCATAATCTCTAATAAACAATAAATCTAATTTTGTATTTCATTATAGAAGAGTAACTCAGGTTACTCCTTGATGGCACTAAACAACAATTTACTCCATCGGTAGTACAAACGTTTTGTGTGGTGTAAACACATATTCTAACACACACGTCTGAGTGAAGCCACGAGATCTACAATTTAAAGGAACGTGTTCCGTGTGAAATTGAGATCGCAATTTGTGGGATTGTGCGATCAAGTTTCGTTATGAATGGGATTGAGAATCATATAAATAGAAGTGAGATCCTAAAAAAATTAGAACGGTTCCGGTTGAGATCCCGACCACGGCGTGCTGGAACTGGATTCCGGAGCGAGAGCGCCACCCTAGTTGGACGATCCCCGGTAACTATAGTTTGAACAAGGCTATATCCAACGGCCATAAAATAAATTTATTTTTCTTTTTTATTTAAAACTATTTTATCTAACATTTGAGTTGCAAATGTACTTTAATACAACACACCAAATAAAAATAATTTAATAATATTTGAGCAAGACAATAATCAGAGTACCCACAAAAGAACATATGTTTCAAAAAAACATTTGTAGCTATTTACTCTTGCTGGAGTAGACTATCTATTTACTCACTTTGGTAAAATACGTGCTAGGAATACTCTTACAACCAATAGAATAAAATCTGTATATACTATAAAACTAAAAAAGCCTCGAGATTGAATAGAGACCGTCCAATTTTTTAATGGATAGATCAAATACCACAAAACTTGAAATTATTATTTTTGTTTAAATAATCATCTCGTAATTGGTACATGGCTAACAAAATTTTAGACTAAAAAAAACAATGTAGCTAGGTGCTTTGACCAAAAAGTACATGCATAGAGTGCTCCATGTATAAAAAAATATTTCAAAACATGTGCATTTCCCTTGTGTCCCGTGTTTTAATTTTCTGATAGGCGGGTAATTGAGGAAAAAAAAAAGGTCCATCGAAAGGAGGTGGTCATGGTAATTTAGGGTTATCAAAATTTTATTTTATTTTTTAATAGATTAGTGACAGTTTGGATGCACCCAAAATTGGAATATTTTTGGATTGTAATCCAAAATTCTTGTGAAACCGACTTTGAACTATTTGAATAACCGGATGATTTTGCTAGATTTTTTAATTGAAAGAAAAAATATTGTCATATCAAGGCAAAAGTTATCGTTCAAAAAAATTCAAGTGAGACTTTGATTTTTTTTTGATGAAAGTACGACCTTGTGCAAACCCCACACCCAGCTTTTTCGCTATTTACCCATTACCCAACTCTCTTTCTCTCTCTCTCTCAACTTCTCAAGGAGTTGAAGCCAAGGTTACCATATCTGATCGATGGTTGCAGTCCTCTCTCTTGTCTCTTGTGAAAGGAAGGAGGGGAAGTTGGTCATGGTGTGGCCTAGCTACATCTTTGATTTGAGCCCAACACTTTCTCTCTCTAGGATCCAATTTCTCTCTCGAAGTTGTAGTGAGAGAAAATAGGGATTTAAGATGAGATTTGTGGGTCATGGCTTCAGAAAGCAAAGGGAATGTTTCATCAAAGGTGAAGCTCATAAATCCAGAAAAATATGGTTCTTTTTCTGTCAATAAATTGAATAAGGGAACTTTGACTGCAAATAAGAGGAAAATTGAGAGCTCAAACAGAGGGGCTAGATATTTGAAGTAAAATTCTGTGGCCACTGTAACAAAACAAGAGGTACCCATTTTGGATTAGGGTTTCTCTCTATTTCTTGTTTGATTTGATGGCTTTTTTTGGAAAGAGAAAGAGAGAGAGAGAACCCCAATGTTCATAAAAAAAACACAAACCCCAAATTTGCAGAGACGGATAAGTTCTCGCAGATTACCCTAGGGTTCATCGGAATCAACAGAAACCCGACATTTGGAGCAAGGATAAGCTTAATACACTGAACCAAAATATGCAGAAGGGGAGAAAGAAAAGCGATCACGGAGGTAAGAGGGGAGGAGGGAGTGACCATTTGGTAAGGCGAGGGATTTGTGACAAAGTATTACAAATCCATAGTGGGGCCTAAAATAAAATCCTCGTGTAACACCTAATAGACTTTATAAGAATAGAAAAAAGGCATTGTAGTTTTTTCAATTTTCATTTGAAAAACTTGCAATTTTTATGAATAACAAAGTATTTTTATTGGACATCCAAACTGGCCCTTAATTTTTTTTTTAGTGAATGGGGTAGTATGTGAGTTGTTTTGGGGATGTAGTTGGTTTTAATATTTGGCAAATGATTAAGTTTGTTTTAGAAAGATAAATGTTAATTAGGTTTAGTTAGGATAAAAATTACTTAATATGGTTTGATGAGGGGGAGACATGACTTTTGAGGTGGTTTGATAAAAGTTTATATAAGGTTGCAATCTAAAAATGTAGAATCAAAATCTACCAGAAATATTGTTTTAATGTTGAAAAAACCCTCTAATCAATCATCTCGACATCGAGATGCATGAATATGAAAAAGAAAAGTTTTTGAGTCCCGGAAATGGGGAATCTTGCAACACATTATCTAGACCGTCAATTTTCAAGATTTTCATATATTTATAGATCTACTTAATTTTAACCATTTTTGGAATTTATAATTTACCAATTAGGTATGAAAATAGAATTTAAGATAATACTAAGAATTCTTTACAACAAAATTACATGTTATGATAAAATTTTTAGGTGTGCCTTAATTGAATTGTTTAAGGTTGCAACCTTATAGAAACCGCACCTTTTTTGAATTATTTATTTTCTATCTTCTAAGTGTATTTAGAGGGGAGATCTCATTTCTTTATAAGTAGAGAATGGGTGATTCGGTAAAGAGTTGATCTCATGAAAAAATATTAAAAGAGAGTATATTCTCTCACCTTTTATTATTTTTATTTATTGTAATTATTTCTTCCATCATGACAAACTAATTCCTCAACTCACAAATGAGAGAGAGAGATTTCTCAGGGGGAGGGCATGGCTCATAGTGGTTAACCCTGTTAATAGTTGCATGGTCCGCGAACATGGGCATGAGCCTATCCGCAGGTAAGCTCAAGCTCAAGGCCGTCAGCTCTAATATCTCAAACGATAATTTAGCCAACCATACCCCGTACTCATCCAGCAATTCCCTGTTCAAAACCAAATAATCATTGGGTTAGAGAGAAAGAGAGAGAAAGTTGTAAGTCTTACTGGAAGCCCGGTGGGCAGGCGGGCCCGTGGTTGTGCAACTGCATAATCCTGGTAGCCTCCAGTTCATGCGTTACAGGCACCTCGATCTTATCTTTGAGCAAGTAGTTGTATATCTCGACCCAATCCCTCACATTGTTGGTGAAATCATTGCTATTGTAACTGACGGGGTGAGTCAAGTCGAGCTGCACCTTCATCTTCTCCTCCAATGGTTGGTGAAAGAAGAGTTTCAGATTCTCTGTCACTGTCTCCGTCGGCTCTTTGGGGATACAGTGGTTGATGCTGTGGAAGAAGCCCGAGTCTCTGAAAGTTGCGCCCACCTCTTTGGCGAGCTTAGCCTTCATGGCAGGGTCGACTTTTCGTCTGAGAGGGGAGTGAAATCAATCACCGGGGTGTTCTCGCCCACCGGAACAGAACCGGGCTTGACCCGGTACTGCTCCAGTTGGATGTAAGAGGGGTCGACCACGGCACTCAGCCTGATCGATTGGTGATGATTTCTGGGTGGGCTTACTGCTACACCCCTCTCACTGATAGCACAGCGAAAGTGGGTTGGTCTTCCTGGGGATTGAGAGCCAGAATTTATGGAGGGGGAGGAAGCAAATATGTAGATGGATAAAGGTGAAATACATGAAGGAAATACATAAATATGAGAAACTTATTTAAGGTTGTAGCCCTAATAAACCATCGCATCAGGCAAGAAATCGAGGGACGGAGCATGGTTGCACGCCAGGATTTCAGACAGAATGTGAAAGGACCGGTGGTAGCACCCTACGCCCTAAGACCACCCTTAGCTAGCTCCTAATTTACTTGAAAAATGGGGAGACCACCCCTAGCTAGCTCCTAATTTACGTGAAAAATGGGGTAGGGCTTATCTTCCCTGAATTACCCAAAAAAATATTTAAAGATAAAAAAGATGAACGGCTTGGGGGCTGGGCCAGGTCATGGGACTGGCACAAATCCCATTTACCTACAAGTCATGTCCAAGCTAAATTTTATAGGGGAAAATGTTATGGTGCGGTTTGTGTAAGATCGAGTTTCTAAAAATTAAAAGTAATGCAAACTTTCAAATAGTATCGATGAATGTAATTTCGTTACTAAAAGTTTTTGTGATAGCTTTTAAATTTACTTTTATTTTTAATTATTAAATTTGAAGCTTCAAAAATAGTGTAGATCGAACAGATCTATGAAACCTTGAAAATATAGAAAATTGAAAGTCATTACAAAATGAATTATTTCAAAAACTTGAAATCCATTTTTTCCTATATTCATGCATCTTGAGGTCGAGATGGTCAATTTGAGGATATTTGGCATCAAAACAACATCTACTAGTGAAATTTTTGAGGTGTGTCTTAATTTGAATGTTTAGAGCCTCACTCTTATATAGACGTTTTTCAATGTTATGTAGGACATGTGAACTCTTTCAAAACAAGTGGAGCCTCACCTCAAAACTAAGGGTGGCAATGGACTTAGATCTGACCCAATCTAGGACCCAAATAGTTCTTTCCGGAAGAAGATTTGAGGAAAGGCTTTACTTTCCTTCCGTAAAGCCTTGGCCTTGTAGAAACTACATTCATAAATAAGGGACATATTATTTTTCTAGTGGACAAAATTTATATAAGTTGGTCAACTTATATGTAGATGTGCCTCCTCTCTCCGTTTTCTATATTTGGGAATATACGAAATAGTTACATTTTAAAAATTAAAAAATCACTTTTTTAAAAAATAATTCTCAACCATCTATTTTGATCCTTTTTGGGAGCACCATTTTTTTTTATCTGTTCAGGGGATGCAAGTATTGCATTGAATACGCTTTTTTTTTCCTAAAAAAATTAATTATCAAGTAGATTAAGAGTTAGCTTTTTGAATGTGTTAGTAGGGTGGTATAGTGGTAGGAATGAAAACCACAACGTAGTGACTAGCGTATGTGTTGCTACCACCACGGCCCCAACACCGTTCCCACTTGTAGGGGCCTGTCTTTCCCACTGAGTTACTTAAAAAAAAAGCTTGATTATCGATATTTTTGTGCTCCAAAAAAAATTTGACCAGGACATCGACAATATAGCCCTTCACCCAAAGTTAAGGGTTAGGGAATTTGAACAAAAAATTGGAAGTAATATATTGAAAAAATGAAAAGAAATTTATATTTGGACAACTCTTTTGCATCTAAGATTAAATTAAAAAAAATAACAAAAAAGATATCGAAACAAATAACATTGACGTGTTATGAAATTTTACCATCTATACCAATGTATTCAAATTCTTTTCTCTTCGACTGAATAGGCCGAAGCCTTCAGTTTTTAAGCATAAACCGAAGCGAAGAAAAATGTGGTGCTTCTGTTTCGGTCAGATTAGATTTGGTGCTATCTAAAATCACCCACATTAAGAAATCTCATATTTTGTATGATTGATTGAGATTGATCTATATTATGTGGGATTGAGATATTCCCATATTATGTGGGATTGATATATTCTCATATTTTTTGGAAATGAGTTTATATTGATAAGTTTTCTAAAAAAAATAGAAATCCAAAAAGATTTGGACTCTTAAATCTATCTCCTGGTTTTGAGATGTACGTAAGAACTATAGGAAGTTTCCTATTTAGTATGGAATCCTAATCTTATATATGGGATGAAAGTGTAGAGAATTTGAGTGCCCTATTTTGGTTACCATATGGGAATAATGGTTCATCTTGAGATAAAGGGAGCTAGAGTCTCCTGTAAATAAGATTCAATTTCCTCTTAGAGAAAATAAAACTTCATTTGGAGATTTCCTCTTAGAGAGAATAAAGCTTCATTTGGAGAGAAACATTGTGATGATGCCTCTTTTATACTCTCGAAGATTGAAAGGCTTGTTTATTACTTATAGAGAAGCGGTTCCCATTGAGATTTTGGGTGTTTTCCCCTTTCGTTAGAAAGAAAGTCAGTTTCTCGTTACTCTCGCGTCTCTATCTGGTGTTGTCGGTAATAGTTGTCAGAAGTAAAAAAAAGGAAGGGAGAGTGGTTTAAATGAGTTTGCTCGATTTAGATATTTTGTTGAGCTTTGTTCTAAAATCTTTGATGTAATTTTCATTGGTATAATGATTTATGTTTATCGTGCGGTGGATATAGCCATCTTAGGTGAACCACTTAAATCTTTGTGTTCTTGTGGTGTGTATTTCAGGTTTTCTTTCTCTTGATCTGGATTGGTGTAATTCATTCCCACCGATAATCATGTTTTATTTCTCCTTTATTTGCCAAAAATCAACTCATCGATTTAGAGCTTTCATGTACAATACGATTCGGGGCTGCTTCGGTCATATTCGGGTCTCTTCGGGTTTGTTTCGGCTGATGCTTCGGGCTGCTTCGGTCATAAAACAAAACAACTATATAAAAATATTTTTTATTTTTTATTTTTTATTTTTTTATTCAAAAATTTTCTATTAATTTTGTATATTATATATAAATATATAATTTATTTATATTAAATTAAAAAAAAAATCTCAAGTCTTTCCATAAATTAGCCGAAACACCGAATTGCTTCATTTTTCTCATCAAATCGTAAAAGACTTTGAAGCAGATATGACAACATTGGTCTATACTCTTATAAAAAAACTCCTAACTTTAATTCTTGAGCGATGAAGTGAAGGCTACTAAAACCCTAGCGCCTAAGCTTTCGACTAGTAAAAGGAAATCCACAACGAAAACTAGAGGAAAAATCAAAATAGAAGGCTTATAGAGAGAGAGAGGGTGCAAGAGAGTAGAGAGAAAAAGAGGGTGCGAGTAGAGGTGCAAGAGAGTAGAGAGAAAAAGAGGGTGCGAGTAGGGAGAGAAAGAGCTGAGTGCAAATGAGAATGCAGGTGGGATTGGGGCTTTTAAGCCCCAATTTAGGTAAAAGGGTTTCATGTTCAAAGTATCGAAATAATATCATATATTAGTTCAATGTTTGAAACATCATACTTTTTTTTGTTCTCAAAATTATTTTGAATAAACGTAAACTTTGTTCAAATATGATTCAATCTGATGTTTTAAATATTATACCACTGAACAAAAGAAATTACACTAAAATGCAGAGTGGTCCAATGTTTCTAACATCGTATAGCTACAGACACGGGAATGACTTGAAATGTAGGGCAGCTCGATATTTCCAATATCAAACCACACTAGAAATGTGGCTATTCGATATGTTTTACTATAAATATCAAAAAATAAAAAATAAAAATAAAAAATAATCTGATATTTGAAATATCGAACTTGAGGCAAAATTAAAAAATAAATAAAACAGGGTGCAAGACCTCTGCAAAAATTTGAGGCAAAGTTAAAAAATATGACCTCTGCAAAAATTTGGCGCAAAGTTAAAACAAAAATAAAACTGCGTGCAAGACCTCTGTAAAAATGTCTTATATTTGAAGACCAATATGAAATTACCATATATGGTGTAGATTAATATATTTGAATCGCAATGTAATCTCTCTCTCTCTTTCTCTCTGTGCTGCGTCATGTCATGTTTAATATGACAATCTTTTTAAAGAAGCAACTCTCATCTCTCTCTCTCTCTCTCTCTCTCTACCGCGCACAGGACAATGTTTAGGACTAGCATATTTGGAGCCCACCTCTCTCTCAAACATTGGTGTACTATATCACATCTATATACTTTAAGAATTCATAAAATAATAATGGGATTTTTTAAAAGGAAAATTGTTGGTACTCTCAAAATGAATTTGGTAGCCATTCTATCTCTCAATATTTGATATTACACTCTAAACCCAAATACATTTGTTTCTTGATTTTACCCCTTAATCAAAACGTAAATCATTTAAAAGCTAAACGACCATTCCCCTCTCTCTCTACCCGTACTCTATTTACCATGCCCCTCTCTCTCTCTACCCACCCTCTCTCTCTCTTTCTTTGGACTTAGCTTAAAAACTGGCATATGACGGTCTTGCTCACTTTTGAGCCTGATTGGTCACAAACTCCTGGAAATCTAGTAGCCCCATAGGATTGTCCGACACAGTTTTGTACCGAACCGAAATTTTTTTCAGTTCGACGTAAAACTATGCTGGACCGTCATATGGTGCTTTTCAATTTCCATAAGCCTATGACCGGGTTCAGCACATTTTTGTGCTAGACCGCAAAAAAAAAAATTCGGTCTGGCACAAAAATGTGTCGAACTGATAGTAGCCTTTTGGAGAAAGAGAGAAAGAGAGAGAGAGAGGGTGGATAGTGGGAGAGAGGACAAGCGGATAGAGAGGGGCTGATAGAGAGAGAAGGAGAAAGGGCAGGTAGACAGTGAGAGAGAAAGAGAGAGGGGAAGGGTATTTAGTCTTTAAATGATTTTTTAAGTGGGACTAAAAGCAAGATTGAGTTTAGAGTGTGATACTAAAAATATTAGGGATACAATGTTTACAACGTTCATTTTAGGGGGTGACCTAAATATATTGGATTGATAGTATATTGTTTAACTCGATACATCAATTATGAAGGTAACGCAAATTCACAATAGGGGAGGTTACCTGAAAAACATGATATTCTAGTTATGAAATTTAAAATTATAACAATAGACTTGATCGAGCAAATCTATGAACACTTGAAAATCTCTAAAATCGATGGTCTAGATAGCTTCTTACAAGATGCACTATTTTTTATACTAAAATTCTCTTTTTCTTAATATCTACATATCTCGAGGTCGAAATGATCAATTGAAAGCTTCTCCAATCTCTTCTAGATGATTCGTATGATGCACCTTACTTTAACAGTATAAGTTTACTAACTTGTATGAACTTTTTTCCCTCAAGAAGATATGAGAATGGAAAACGATTATATAAAGTGTGAGGCCATAAATAATCAAATTAAGGTGCATCACAAAATTTCATTAGAAGAAGTTGTTTCGATGCCAAAAAATCCTCAACTCGATCATCTCGACCTCAAAATATATGGATATGAGAAACAAAATA